CTCCTGTTTCAATTCAAGTCAATTCAAGCATTCAATTTTTAAGAAATATATACAAAACACAAAATTATTTTTTAAAATGAATATATATGTAGATGTGCAAGCTTGCTCACAGTGGCGAAAAATGTCTGTGCGGAAACTTTTGTGTGATACAAAATCGTAAAGATACTGTTTCCCAGATTAAAAGGAGAAATCATTAAAAATGCAACAAATTCAAGCGCAAATTTTTTGGCTACATCTTATTCATTCTCAAAGTTAATCTCAGGAAAACGTGCAGTAAAGTTTTCAACACTATCCGCCTCAACATTTTCAACACTAATAAAAAACAACGTCATCACAACCTAGGTTTTTCCCGTCATCTGAATCAATAAAGTCCAGGTTTCGACATTATCCATCTCAATAAAAAAACAAAAACAAATAAAAAACGTCACTACAACCTAAATTTTTTCCTGTCAACGGCTGCAGTGCTTCGTCCTTTTTCAGTTCATTTTTGCTGCAGTGTCGGCCAAATTTGTAGACGCTGAGATATTCTGGCCATGGAGGTCCCACTTCCCCTCACGTCTTATCAAAAGAAGCTTGTTAGGAAATTTTGTCTTTGCTTTAGCGGGTCGACAATTTTCTTAAGTTTCTTTAGTCCTGAGGCAGTAAAGCGAACCTCGTATTATGTGCATTAAACATGGCTCCTGTGCACGCTGCGTCATATCCTTCCATTCATGCACGCAAATTACGTTGATTTCAAGGTTTAGTACGTGTTGATTGCGTTGGAACAACGTAAATTCAACGTTATTTTAAGAGTCAAACACCTGATCGGTAGTTTTAATCGCCTGCCGGGCCCTTGCTGTCTCAATTATCATCAATTAAAAATAGAGTTCAGGGATTAAATGCTCTCAACATTTACTTCTGTTTTTGTCTCTTCTTGAACAGGCAACAGCCATTCAAAGCTTGGCTTATCGAGTTATCGCACTGGAAAATAAACAACGACAACAAGCTCAGTATTCTGGCTGAGAAGTGTTAACAGTAATGGATTTAAAGTAACTTTTTTTCTTAACAAAACAGCAATAGCAATGCTTTTGTTCGATCACAAATAAACGAATTTGAAACCTTGTAACTTTGGCATTTCGGGTTCATTTTTAATTGAATGCGACTGTGAGAACTCTGATTATTTGAAGTTGCCTGCAATTGCGATTAATTTCTTTCGAAGGGCATATTTCACTCTTCCGGGACGGCAAAGATAAATGGGTTCTCATTAACAACGTTGCAAATAACTCATGACTATAATTTTCGGGAATCAAATTAGACAACTAATACTCGTTACTGATTGAATAAAATTTATGAAAGAAAATATACATAATGGAAATCGATTCTAAACAGGGCATTTACAAGTCACGTGGAAATTTTAAAATCGAGCGGTAACAATAAAAACGATTATTGCGTTTTAAATGAGTTTTAAATTAACTCAAAGCCCATAAAAATGCATGGAGTCTTCAGCGTTGTGTGAAAGATTAAAGTTTTGATGATAATATATAGTTCTACCTAAATCACTGTCCCTAGTCAATAAAATAGTAAAAACTTAAAATTTAAAGATATGACGGTAAATAAACAATAAAATCTCCAATATTTCCCTGTACTTAATTAGAAAACTTACTGCTGTACAATGTTGGCGTGATATTCGTATTAAAATATTACTCATTTCCCACAACATAGGAACACAAACACAAAAAAATTCAATAAAGTTTCAGAACTAGCTTCTCAATAAGTTTTGATATCACAAAGAATGGTTCACCGAATTTCTGCTCATGATCAATTTAATTAAAAACTTCATAAATCTGCTCCGAACATGTCATCTTAATATTAATATTACTTGTACTCAGGAAAATCATATTTTAAATCTGACAAGACGACTGGAAGACCTGCTTGGGAGGCGTAGAGCGTCTTTTCCTTGAATTCTCAAGTCCACGAATCTCCTCACTTTCCCACTGAATTGGTCTCAAAATCGCCATGACAAAAAATCTTTTGGACTTTAGGCAGTCCTGTAAAATTTGCCATTGAGCACCGAAAGTCACGTCAGAAATTCAGTGTGCAAGCTTGAAAGCTCGGCAGACTGGAAAAATTGGAAACTGGTCCACTGGCGACCAAACCTTTTGGGACTGCCGCGCGATGTGGGATTCGAACAGAAAAAAGGTAAATGGGACGGGCATTGTGAGCGATGGCATTTGAGAGAAAAAACCCATCGAAAAAAGAAATGAATGTGTTGTTGACTTCGAAATTTGGAGGAAATATGGTCGGTGAGCTATAACAATGAGTTTAAAAAGCTTACAAAAAATACTTGATGAAAATTTTTGAAGCGCTTTTACATAGGAATTCATGTAATTACTTAGATCATTACTATTTCAGATCATGGCATTCCAAGATACGGAAACCTCGTAAAAACTATTCTGTTAGCCACAACAGGACCTTGCTGACAAAAATTACTGTGGTGGTATGACAGGATCGGAATTCCTTTGACAACAGTTCTTCAAATTTGTCGCTGTCAGGTAGAAAATTTAATGCCCGAAAGAAAATTAGAGAATTTGGGGAAGGTATTTTGAAATACAGGCGATCAACAAATGGGCTCCAATTCGATTGACGGAATTTCTTTTATGACATATAGTGAATCTAAAGTTATAGTGCGAATTTAAGCGCAGAAACGAAGAAAAGATGACATAGGTTGCTAAAATTATTATTGAATTATTATAAAATTACAATTTATTATCGAATTTCGTCGTCATTACGCATATCGTTAGTCTCGTGTTAGGAGGCAGAGTCGTGTCTTATTAGCTCGATGGTGATTATTGTTACTTGGACCATACCTGTGTGAAGACGTCCTGCTCAAATCGTATTACAAACCGTGTTCAAGCTTGCTTTTCTATGCCTTAATTAGAGTTTGTGCGAGTTTATTTCCATTTTACTTGAATCTTAAACAATAGTTCTCGTGTAGAGAAATATGGGAAAGAAAATTGAGAAAACATTATAAGGAGTGTTCACTCGTACCTAAATAGTTAAATGCGTACAAGCATGCAATTTAATTCACAAGCAGTAAGGCAAGTGACAAAATTAAAACTAAACATGAGAGCTCCTCATGTTGTCATGAGAGCTCCTCAGTGAACACTCCTTATAATGTTTTCTCAATTTTCTTTCCCATATTTCTCTACACGAGAACTATTGTATAGGATTTATCAAAGGAGACAAATAGGTTAATTAATTTGATCATTTTGCAATTGTTATTCGTGATTTATTTGCTCTTCTTACTAAAACAAACTGTGTTACATCTTGAATTGAATCGGAAGATAGGTTTTAACTTATTATCTACTTTATCCAGATAAGAATCCACCCAATCTCCGTGACGTGCAACTTGACCTGCGAATCTGTCAGCTTGCTTCTTCATTTATTATTTGCCACTACATTATTTTATTATGTGACCCGCAATTTTATGTTGATTGATTGATTCAAAATTGATTTTGAAGATAGGTTTTAACTTCTTATCTACTTTATGCACATAAAAATCCACCTCATCTCCGTGACGGGTGACTTGACCTGCAAATCTGTCAGCTTGCTTCTTCATTTATTATTTGCCACTAAATTATTTTATTATGTAACCCGCAATTCAATGTTGTGAATAGAGAGAGAAACATATAATTTGCATTACAGGGACCTATTCCTTTGCAATAAATATTGTTACATTCACTCCTTGATTTTTAGCGCATTTTCTCATTTATGGAAAAAATGCACTATTGTGCTCGCCATGTTCGTCTGTCTGTCTGTCCGTCCGTCTGTCCGACCGTCCGTGACCTCAAGTTTTCGTCGACGAGAAAATGCGCTCTCTGTCACTCACTGCAGTGAGTACTGAGTTATATTTTTGAACTTATACTGACAACAACCAATTTTCCCTGCATGCGAACTACTACTATGGTTATCTGTTCTTTAATTGGCAGCTGTTCACCCACTTCGTTTGGCGTTAAATAAAATTTTTTAGTTTCTCATTCACTTCTTTCATGTACACTTGCACTGAAATTCGATAAGGAGGCCTAATGGCCTAATGAAAGGCGATGAAAGAAGTTAATATAAATCGGTTAACGGATTTATTATTCCTATACGTATTTACAAATTACGGTACGTAAACTCGATAGAACATTTAACCCTTTGTAATGTTTAATCATCGGGGTCAAAAATTAAAAAAAATATCAAAGAGTTTCATAAACTTATAATTTATCACTATAATATTTGCCTAAAAACTCTTAAGCAGTGAACTTCGTTATGATTATACCATGACCTAGCTGACTGAGACTGCTGATGCGTTGTACTCACTTCTACAACCATCTTAAAACTCGTTGCTATTTAAATGTACCTATCGTTACCAGGACTTTAGGTACGAATATCATAGACGACGGTAAACGTATCCGCAGAAGCAGGATAACCCTTGTCTGCTAAATGTACCTATCGTTACTAGGACTTTGGGTACGATTAGCATTTCCGTCGGTCAAGGTTTCCTTAGACAAAAGATTACGGAGAAGCAAATTTTTACAGAACGCCATTTACGGGCACGTCTCACGGCTGACAAATGATCGGATGAAGACACGCCGCTGATAGACATCACAAAAAATGCTACGCAGGATCGATTCGGGATAGAAAAAGTTTCCATACCTGCTGCTGGCATTGAGTTCTGGTGTGAGGCTCATCTTTCAAAAGTACATTCATTTTTTCATTATCATTTCATCTATCTGAATGGAAAATTTAGATAATTTATATTTTCAGTTATGATTGTGATATGAAAATTATCTTGTTTATTTTTAGAATTCTCCAAATTGTTTACTGGTAGAAGAAAAACAAGTTCTCAATTCTCATAACACCGATGCCAAGAATAGAACTTTGCTTATTTGTTAAAGAATATCTTCTTTATAATCATATGAATATTCTTTTGCAACTTGTATAGGATAGAAACGCAGCCATTTTGTCCCACTCTTTTATAGAAAACAATTGCCAAGTGATGACACATCTCATTTAAAACAGCATAAACATGTAATTGTACCAACTTACACGCACAATCCTCACAATAGACGTGATTGTGATGCAATAATGCCTAAGTCCCTGATAAAATTTCCTGCTTGTCAGTTACAGTTGAAAAAAATAATTTTACAGTTGAAAAAAATAATTATTCTAAATCCATAAAATCAATGTTCTCCAAACTTTTGAAATGCTTCATCGGCCGCACAAAATGTAAAATTTATGTAAGGTGGTAATAATTTAAATCAAAGACTAGATTAGCAGCTGAAATTTATGTAAGTTTAACTCATATTACAGAAAAATTAAAGTCATTTTTGATAGAACCATTATCAAAGTCCGGTGAAAAATAAATTACAGAAGCAAGTAATACCTCAGCCAATTCATATTTGTGAGCAGGCATAGAGAAAAAATCTATTATGTATTAGAGTGTTCCTTGATAAAATCATTATTTTCTCTCTGGTAAATAGCGAATAGAATTTTTAATCGAACTTTGATTGAGCGATGATTGTCATTCTTTATAACAAGCTATTCAAACTTCCCAGTGCTGGTCTATTACAACGGCTAGAGAAATACTTTTTATAGGAAAAAATAAACGTGGAAATTTTAAAAAGTTTCATTACTTTTTCAAAGCAATGAGTATTAGAGCTGTGAAATGTTCTAATTGAATTCTTCACATGATGAACGAACTAACTGAGAAAAGAATGAACTGTGAAAATTGTGCAAAAAATAAGAAGAGTTGATTTGTCACTAGTTTTCCTGTTTATTTAAATTGCCCATATATAATGTTGCTTAAGTAATGTTCTATTAGACTTTAGAATGTAAAAGATAACAAAATTTGGTAAAAGTTATAAATTATGCTTGTAATTTAAAAACTAGATAATTGCAGCCTAATTCATGCCTGAAACTCAAAAAATAATTCCGCGCACATTTAGTTTAATTAACACAAGTTAACATATGACGAACGTTTGTGTGAGAGTTTCTATGAAGAAGCAGCCGGAAAACAAGACTGCCGCCTACCAACGTCACACTGAACTCTCTCTCCGGCCGTCCTCGTCAGTCCCATGCAAACTCGAGGACTGAAGTCCACTTTGGCCACTAGCAGGTAATGGAGAGGCTTCATGTTTCTGGATGACAGAACTCATACCTGGCAGAGCGCGAGATGCAGAGTAGTTTCTACTCACGAGTGTCGCTCCCATGTCCAGATGAAGTAAGCTAGGCTCTTGCGACGTCAGCATAAAAGGAGATAACGTCACTTTAGAGACGGAATTTTGCAAAACTGGATCTGGAGGAGCTGGCTCCGGGGGAGTTGATGAACTCAATCGTCGGTTTTGAGATCCTTTTTCGTCAAAGATAAACGATCGGTTCGAAAAGTGAGGAAGCGTGGTCGCCACCACTGGAGTTTCGAGAGCATTTGTGGAGAAACAAATAGGATCTCCGGATACTTTTGTCTTGTGGCTTCCTTTGAAGGGACAATCTGCAAAGCGACGCAAATGGGAACTACAATTTGATCAGGTTTCTTGTGGGAACACAAAGAGGAGTTACGAATAGAAAATATTGGGGGAAGTGAGATATAAGAGGAATATTGAACATTTTTATTGTTTGATATGAATAGTTTCCACAATAATGTAAAAGGAAGAGAACGAATAATCGGGTGGTCGAATATGAATTGACCAAAGTGATTTTAATATCAACATACCTCAGTGCGTCGTTGCATTTTAAAGCTATAATAATTTCGACGACATTCTAAGTTATATCCACATTGCTAGTGACCTATTCTCTAACATGCAGTTAAATTTTTGTGGAAACAACAACAAAAAATATACTTTTACTATCTAACAAAATTAAAACCCACCACTCCACTATTGTTTGCGAGAATATAATTTGAATGTATACGTAAATTAAAAAGTTAGTTATTTGAACAAACATGGTTAGCCCTTTAGGTTTTTGTTTCAATATTATCTGCGATTCCAAAATACGATATTCGATTTTTATGATTGAATAATTTCTATTTAAAACAATTAAATTTAAACAATGTAGTTGAAACCCTCACCTCGCGTGAGAGATGTCATAGGACTCGACATGATGGTGGCTTCTCCCTCTGTATTTTCAAAGAGGTTTAAAGATATCTGCTTCTTTTTTCTGTAGGTCCCAGCGTCAATACTGAGCGAGTCGGTGACAGATATTGGTGCTACTTCAGATTCTTTAGGAAGGCTAAGGTCTCCGCTGGTGTTAGGAGCGTAGGTCTGCGAGTCTGTCAACTGATCGTTTTGGTCTGAGAGATGCTGCTGTTGTCGGTGACAGCATCGCTTCTGTGACCAAAATGTGACAAAAATATTGAAAAAACACTTCTTCATTAATGATGGAAATTAATTCAATGGAAATTTGATTCGCGATGGAAATTTAATATAATTATAGAATAGTTTGTCGTAAGCTATTTTTAAATTAATGTGTATGATACAAAACAACGAGAGTTTTAATTATCAGCTAATGAACCAATTATCAATGTTAATTATTTTTAAATAATCAACATATTATCGGAATTTCATTCTATAATACAAGAATTTATATTCGTACATGGATTTCTGAATTCATAACATATATTATCAGAATTTTAGTTTTACTTATTTAGATTTAAGCCAAGGGTATAGCGTCAGAATTTTAATCATTGCTTATAATTTACAAGGAATCTTGCCAGATAATCAGTTGGAGAATTATAGAGTGGACTCATGCCATTGAAGTTTATTAATAATAGTATTGAAGGTTTAATAATAATATTATTGAAGGTTTAATAATAATATTATTGAAGGTTTAATAATAATATTATTGAAGGTTCAATAATAATATTATTGAAGGTTCAATAATAATATTATTGAAGGTTTACTAATAATATACAAAATATTAGATAATATAATCATTACTCTGAAAGACAGGACTGCGACGAAGGTGAGTGCCAGCACGGCAGTGATGGTGCCAGCGAATGCGCCCAGCAGGCTCGCGTAGTTGAGTGCCGCTGCAGCGCCAGGGTCGCTGTGTGTCTGTACTGAGCTTCCTTCTGTGTAGTCATTAAACAAAACATTTATAATTCGTAATATTTTGCTTTATAATTTATCTTATAGCCTTACTTATGATGTACATCATGATTTTACATTTTTTTACAATATGGATTTGCCAAATATTATTATTATTATAATAATATTATTTAATTAATTTTTTCTCACAAACAAAACATTCATAATTTATAATATTTTACTTTATAATTCATCTTATAGTCTTACTTATGATGTACATGATTATTTTAAAATTTTTCACCATATGGATTTGTCAGATATTATTATTATTATTATTATAATAATATTATAATTTAATTATTTTTTTCCAAATGGCGACAAACGTAGTATTGAAAAGCTCTTTCGCCAGACCAAACTGGGTCAAGATGACCCACATAAGGGCAAAAAGTTCATCGCAGTTTCAAATGTCTCACTAATTGTTCTGAGTGTACGCAAATAGTGTTGATCTATTGTGCTGATCAATATTAAATTAATTAATTAAGGTTGTGTGTGGAGACATGAGTGTTAATTGTCAATTCTCTACGAAGTCAATAAAACGAGATGATGGAAATTCGTGTGAACTAATGGTTTCATCGCTATTATAATTATTGATATATCATATCTGTATTCTTATCATGATGATGTATGCGTATGTCGTGCCGAGATCACGGAATAGCCAATTCTATGGAATCGGAAGCCACTTTGCCGAATCTGTAGAATCAGCATTTCTATACAATAGGAATCTGGGGTTAGTTCAGTCAACCAAGTTTTTTTTTTAATATTTAAATATAAAGGAACTTGACCTAACATTTTTTTAACTCTAATTGTCGATTTATGTTCTAACTCTAACGTCTGATTTTCTGAATCAACAGCGAAATGCTGATTCTACAAATTCGGCAAAATGGCTGCCGATTCCAAAGAATCGGCAATTCCGTGATTTCGGCACGACACATACACCATCGCGCTAGCTAATGGCTATAGTAGAATTCATTCATCGTTACACAAACGGATATTTACAGGTCAATAAACGATGAAAGTTTAGTTTCTCTCGGCCGGGCCTTTGAGTTCTACTAATGAATCGGAATTTTAGGGCCGACAGTTTCCTGTTGAAATCTTAAACTTGCCTCCAAATAAAACTTTTAAGATGAAAAAAAGCTACGCGACCAAGAGGCTCCAACGGGCCACGGCCATCGTTATTTCCGGGTACAGTAACTGTCGTCGATGTGAGGCGGCGCAAGTCCACAGACTTTTTTGTATTTCTAAAATTAGAAACTTTTCGACTACGTAGAATTTTCGTTTAAATGTTCGACTGTAACGTCGTTCTATTAAAGGCAAATAAAAATCGTAAAAAGCCTAACGCAGTCCCTAAAAATATTTTCTTCTTTATTAAAAATTAAAGCAGAACAACCCCAATTACTTTTTGAAAGATTATTTATCAAATTTTGTATTTACAATTTTATCATCAATTTATGTGTGTGTACAATTATATCGATTTCTGTATTAAATCACCATGCCACGGGCTTTATTTTAAATGAATATTACTTCGAACGTTTTTTATGTTGATTACGATCGAATTTATCGTTACTCATTAATACACAACACACAATATCCTTGATGATATTTTAAACCTTGGGACTTTTTTTGCTCGTCGTGTATGGCTTTCTTTGTTATAACAAAATATAACAGATTCACAAGCAGGGTTGTCGGTATGCACTTACATTTTATTTCGCAGATATATTACGCTGTAATAAATTTTTTCTGCACCTTACATGTTATCAAACTTGATTATGTAAAATCTTAAATTCATTTATATATTATTTTTTTCCTCAACCTACTTCTTCATAATACATTATTCATCTTTCTTTATGCACATATCACAGAGAATTTTTTTGCCGTTCATTTACATGAGAACTTTAATTTATTCCAAGCTTCATATCCTTCATTTCACACTAGAATATTGATTTACTCAGAGCTTTAGTTTCTAAATTCTACACTGGAGCATACGTTTTTTCCAAGCTTCATATCATATTCCTATTCAATACTCGACATTAATTCCAAGCTTCATATTGACACCTGAGCATTCATTTATTCCCAGCTTCATATCACACATACTGCACTGAAGCAATGTTTTATCCCGAGCTTCATATCCTATATTTTCTGCAGCACTCAATTCTATCGCTCGATTCACTCTATTATGGAGATTCCCCATCGGTTGACGCGGGAATTTTTAGAGGACCGTGAGAGCGCAGTCGATGTTTAGAGAAGAGCTTGAACGCATTGAATTATTAATAATCGATGAGCCACACGCTGGAGTCTTTCAAAATAACGTAAGTCCTTAAGCCGTATTTTGATAGATTTTCTTGCCGTTCGTGCTCGCTCATGGGGAAATAAAAGGAGCCAATATTTAAATATGCGAGACAACCTCTCTTGGGTTTGTTCACGAACACCGTGGGGGATGGGATTTCAATTCAGCATTTGAATGCACTCGTGCCGCTATAAATATATGAGCGACATTCTATACGTTGTCGAGCGTGGCGACCGTGGCTTTCAGGCTTACGGAAATTTGAAGTCAAATATTTGCAGAACGAAAACAATCAGTGGGCGATTATGGGCGATATTAACATTGTACGACTGATTTTTCATGCATAAATGAAGGTAAATAAAGTTCTTAATGAAATTTGTACTTATTTTGATAGTTTAATTTAGGATAGTAATGTGGGGCGTTGAAGAATAGGCCAAGTTTGCTTAGTCGCCGGTTCTTGGAATGCTCTTGACTTGTCTCGTGGATATCTAAGAACTTATCTCATAACATTGACCAGTTCTGTCCAAAACTGACGTTGAAGTTAAGTAGGTGTTGCTCATGCACTGGCTTCTGAGGTGGGAGGCACTTCTCGTCTGCATAAATATCTATCTATACATAGCTCGTCTCTGCAAATATCTACACCTAGCATGGGTATATTCTTGAACGCGTTCATCCTCGGAGCGTCAACGATGACGGCAAGAGAATATATTGAAAGACTTTTTCAAAATATTTGTATCACTAGATTGATGTAGATTTTTCTCAAAAATTTGTCATGTCAAAGTTAATCTGCATCGACATTGAAATATTAAAATATGTTCATAATTAGATTGGTATAGTTTCACTTGAGCATAATTTAATGTCAAAATTGATCATTACCCATCTCGATCAACATTGAAATATTATTTCGAAACTATTTTTAAATACTTATCGACGTAGTGTTTTCTGAAATTAATCATATTAATTAAGAAATATTTATTAATAGGATTATGAAGAAAAAATAATATATTCATTAATAATATAGTATTTACCATATTATTAATTAATCCAAAAGTCACCTGTATCATGGCGAGTCTCGAGCTGTTTCACGGGCAGGCTGGGCAGGTCGACGTCAAGTCTGACGCCGGGCAGCGAGCGTCCCCGCGAGTTGCCGGAGTAAATCAGGAGCTGCACGCTAGCCCCGCTCTCCAGTCCTGACACCTGGAACCTGGAGGCAAAAAATGGAGTCATGTTAACCTGGAGGCAAGGAGTGGAGTCATGTTAACCTGGGACCTGGAGGCAGGAGTGGTCATGTTAACCTGGGACCTGGAGGCAAGGAGTGGGGTCATGTTAACCTGGGACCTGGAGGCAGGAGTGGTCATGTTAACCTGGGACCTGGAGGCAAGGAGTGGAGTCATGTTCACCTGGGACCTGGAGGCAAGAGTGGTCATGTTAACCTGGGACCTGGAGGGAAGGAGTGGGGTCATGTTACCTGGGACTTTGGGGCAAGGAGTGGGGTCATGTTTACAATGCAGGAACCTGGAGGCAGGGAGTGGGTTCATGTTAACCAGGGACCTGGAGGCAAGGAGTGGGGTCATGTTAACAATGCAGGAACCTGGAGGCAGGGAGTGGGGTCATGTTAACCTGGGACCTGGAGGCAAGGAGTGGAGTCATGTTAGCCTGGGACCTGGAGGCAAGGAGTGGAGTCATGTTAACCTGGAGGCAGGGAGTGGGGTCATTTTAACCTGAACCCTGGGTGCTAGGCATGCTATCAGGTTAGCCTGGGGGACAAGGCATAGGGTCATATTTACCTGGAACCTGGGGGTGAGGCAAGGCGTCATGTTAACCTGGAACCTGGGGTAGCGCAGCAGGTCCCATTATATTATTAGTTATTAAATTATATTCTAATATTTATACATTAATAAATCATCACATTTAAAATATTAGCCAGTGTAGTGCGTCACTCTGAACATTTTTAATGCAAAAGTTTGCTATAAATCGTGAGCGCCTTGCGCTTGCTCATGCCCTGTGGCGCCTTCCACTTGTCTCTGTCGCCGACGCTTTTCATCGCGGACTGGCGAGCGCCTGCAAACTTGCGCGAGGTCAGGGGAGACTTGGAAAATTCTGAAATTCATGCAGGGCAGAATTTATAAGCAGTAAAGAAAAAAACTTTGATCTAAATAAGATTACTCTCCTAGGTCCAGGTTGCAGATATTACTCCAACTTCTGTGGGCTTATATTAATAAAAAAATAATAATATTACAATAATAATAATATATATAAAATAACAATTACATATATACATAATAATAATATTTAATAATATCAAAATTAATAATAAGTTTCAATAAATTTAAAATCATGCCCAACCACGCCTATAAACCTTTTAGTTGAAATGGAGCTAATCACTGACGCCTGATTTAACCACTTGAATTTCTCTAACGAATTCTTCATTCGAATGGAGCCGCAGTTCTGGAGTATTAAAATATGAGATTTTTTGCTGCCCCACATCATGAGATAATTTTTGTAAAATTTTTTTTTAGCCCAACACTCACCAAGTTACGAAGTGCCATTCACCAAAATTGACTTCCTTCTATTTGCCTTGGCTCAACACTGCTCACGACACTGTCATTTTTCTCACGGCATTCATACAGCGACTGCCGTCGCACAGCATGAATTTTGTATGACATGCCGACACGCACAAGACAGTCTCGATGCAACACTTAACTTCCGGTCTTGAACTGTGAAAATTTATACTTCAAATGAGTTTGTGTCTAATTGACAATATTTTTTATGATTTCGGCATAAACTTTTAAACTTTCGTATTTATAAAGTTATAGAAATATTATTTCACACTTCCTAAACAGTTTTAGCAAAATTTCTGCTGTGTAAAACCAATTTGAGCATTAATGAATACTAAACTGAAAACCTCTTGGCATCCAAATTAGTTAATTAACCAATGAAAATACAAATTTTCGTAAATTGATATAACTGCGAAAAATTCCGCCCCAAAATATTGATTTTCAGTTCGCTAAAAAGGTCTAATTCGCAGTACGGAAAAAACAACAGCAAGCTGCGAAATATTCGATATAATTGATTCTCTCCTGTATGTTTGTGATTTGAAAATTTTGTTAGATTTGTTCAAACCATTTCATATTTAAAATTGACGAAGCAAAATACAAACTATACATCACACAAATTTTTCTTACTTTCGACCAAAATTGCACAGGAGCAAAATGTACGAGAATACGTAATCGTACGTTACTCATTGATTTGACACTCGTTCATAGAAAAGAGGTTACATTATTTACAAATAAGTAACAATAACCGTTTTTAAAAGCCTAATCAATATTTATATTCAAAGCCTAATCAATTTATCAATATTTATTTCCAGTTGCGTCTGTAATAAATTTAATATATTTTTAAAGTTTTCCAATTTATCCTCTGAACGACCGTACTCGGTTTCAAGCCATGCCTCTTATTATACATTCTGCATCGAGCCGCCTGCGTACAAGATTACTGGCCGCCATCTAACTCACTTAGGGTTGGATGCGGACACGTTCAGCCTGCAGTATGTCGGACCTGCCAGACCTGACTTCCATATGTGAAGTTGGAGGCAATCTTCGCCCTCAAAACTAGACTCACTTAGGGGTGGACGCGAAAACATTTGGCTCAGTGTGCACGACCTCACGAACATGACTTCCATATGGAGAGTTCGCATCAATCTGCTGCTGGAAACAGGCTTACTTAGGGCTGCATGCGGACACGTTCTCTTGCTGTATGTCGGGCCTGCCGGAACTGATTTCCATATGTGAAGTTAGACGCAATCTTCGCCCCCATAACTAGGCTCACTTAGGGCTGGATGCGGAAACGTTTGCCTGCAGTGTGTCTGGCCTGCCGGACCTGACTTCCATATGGAAACTTTGCATTAATCAACCCCAAGAATCAGACTCACTTAGGGCTGGATGCGGACACGTTCGCCTGCAGTGTGTCTGGCCTGCCGGACCTGACTTCCATATGGAAAGTTTGCATTAATCCGCCCCAAGAATCAGACTCACTTAGGGCTGGATGCGGACACGTTTGCCTGCAGTGTGTCTGGCCTGCCGGACCTGACTTCCATATGGAAAGTTTGAGGCAGTCCGCCTCCAAAACCAGGCTTGCATGTCACCGCCACGCTGCTAGGAGTCACGTTCGTCACCTTGCATTCATTTGGGGGCTGAGGACGAGCTGTGAATGTAAGTATGAAAACATAAGAAATATGCTTGAAAAGATAGACCATTTATATTAGCTAAAGCAATGATAAGTTTAAATTTTATAGGCCTGTCAAATAGTTGGGTTAAATTTTTTCAGGAAATTTTTGATTGACAGTCGTTCTGACAGTCATTTTGTAAATTATAAATGCTTGCCGATTAATGTAGACTTGAAAATAATTAAGACTATGATGTTTAGATTCACTAAATTATAAACTGCAAGAACTACTTAGAAATGAAACAAAACGCGTTTAAAACCTTAACAAACATTACAAGAGGTATAGTGTTGAAAGTCTTTTCGCACTTCTGGATCAAGCTCCAGTTATATTTTAGCTTATTTTCTAGGTAAGTTTGCCATGGGTGATAATCACATTCATGATAGAAGTTGTTGCCGTGGATATATTGTACCTGCTTTAATGACTTCACGAGATAACAAAAATCGTAAGATGTACGATATAAGTTCTGGCGAAGTAATGAGCTAAATTTTACGCGAATCTGGTCGTTACGCCAAACCTAATTGACGGTTATCACCAAAATCTGAGCTCATTCATCACAAACTTTAGATTAAATTTATCAAGCTCAAAGTATTCAAAAAAATAATCCCCATCATTTTTCATTCGGATTTATTATGTTAAGACATGGTGAAAATATGTACAGAAAGTTTATATAAGAAAATATATAAGAAAAAACTCATGAATAGATTCACTAATAAATCAAGTGCTCTATTCTTGATATTTTGTTCAGCTGTCAAACAGAAAAATAGGCAAATCATCCTAAACTCTTTTTGTTATTGCACGATCACAAAATTTTGCACTAGCTTTGGGCATGCTTCCATATCTGTAAGAAATTAAACCATTTTTCTGAAGCCTTAATCACTCAACTTCTAACTCCTATCTAGTATTCATATCCAATGAGCAAGCGTTATGGATATTACATTAACCTATTTACATTAACCGTTACATTAACCGTTTACATTAACCTATATAATAATATTTGTCCCAATCTATATTTGAATAATATATTTAATATTTTGTTAAATTATTATTAATATTTATTTATTTATTTATTTTCATTTTATTACATTATGAATATATTGTAAAATGTAGGTTATGAAGTACAAGTTGCATAATTTGAATAGAAAGACTGTGATATGATGTGATTATGATAGAATTATAAAAATTATACACCAAAAAGGCATTTATTCACAAATGATCTTACAAAATATATTTATATATTATTCATTTATTTAATTAGATATATTATAGAATATATTTGTCCCCTAATCGTAAACCGAAGAGATATTGTAGGAGGCAAAAGGATCTTCTCAGCCAAAAACAAAACTGAGCGCTGGTTTACCTGCAGGGACAACTTGAAACATGCAAGGCTCCCGTTGTCTGCCGACCGCGTTCTCGGCTCTGCATTGTAATGTGCCGTACTCGAAGTCACTCTTGGGGATATACTCAAGATGACTGATGTCTTTAGGGCCGGTCAAGGGTGACTCAGGAACCTCGAAAGTTTCTGATGTGTTGTTGAAAGTCCAGTAGAAACGCGAGGCCTGTGTAGGTTATGAAGCACAAGTTGCATAATTTAAATAGGAAGACGGTGATATGATGTGATTATGATAGAACTATAAAAATTATACACCAACAAGGCATTTATTCACAAATGAGCTCACAACACAGCTATGGTAAACGTTTTCATAGCAAATTAAGTACCGGCGTTCAATGTGGCCTGAAACTAATGGTTTCGTTTTATAGAAAAATGTATCATGGACAATTTTTTGAGGGGGATTTCTTACATCTTACACAATGTGATGGGCAAAAATATAATATTTATCATAGTCTTTACAAATAATTTAACTATTAAGAGAAATACAACTCAAGGCAAATTAATTTCAAAACTCTCTAATATATTTTCTCAATAAATTTACTTCAAAATTTTCCTAAAATTTACCTAAACTCCATACAAATCCTGAAATTTTTCGAATCATCATTGACAAAAAATAATTAGTTAACATCAACTTGACTGCAAACACAAACACGTGAAGTCCTGAAATTTTATCGAATCTTACTTGAAAAAATAATTCATTAATATCAACTTAAATGCCGACACAAGCACGTCAAGTCCTGAAATTTTCCGAATCTTACTTGAAAAAATAATTAGTTAATATCAACTTAAATGCGAACACAAGCACGTGAAGTGCACTAACCGTAGGCACGGCCTCCGTATTGCACGTGACGGTCACACTTTCCCCCACGGCTGCACCGTACGTCTGCACCTGAGCAGGGCTGCAGACCGGCGCGTCTGCCGGTGTATTTAATTTCTATTTAATTATTGATATTTTGTCGTGCTGTCAAATAGAAAAAAGGAAACTCATACTAATTTTTTAATTATTGATATTTTGTCTCGCTGTAAAGTAGAGGAATGGAAACTCGTACTAAAATTTTAGTTACTGATATTTTGTCTTGCTGTCAAATAGAAGAAAGGAAATTCATACTAAAATAATTTTGTTATTGCACGGATCATGTAAATTTACATCAGCTTTTAGAACGCTGAGTGTTGAACTAATCGCGTTAAGAATAGTACATTAGAAAGTGATAACACTTTGCGTACTAGGAGCAAGGAGTTTGATGAGCTCAGTTACGTGAGACAGAAAGTTATTTGCTGATGCTTTGTAATAGTAATAATTCTTTATTTTGATCAAAATATTGCGCAAAATAGCTATGATCATTCTTAGTTTACTTATTGTATGTATTTGATCTTCTTATCTACAATAACTCAGCAATGCCCAACCGCCTCTGAAAATTCCAATGCAAAGCTGCACCAGAAAATAAAAGGATTACTTATGAAGCCTTTAACTCTGAGAATAGTTAAAGCATGAAAATAATTGAATATAACGAGCCATTTATATGGATATGGTGATCGATCATTTAAAAGGAGTGAATTAAGTGGAAGTTTAATTGTATTGTCGATATTAGGTCACAAAATTTTAATCATCTAAAGTCTAAAGCGTGCCCAAGGCTTACGCAAATGCAAAGACGCCCCTCAGAAAAATGAATTTCTCATATTGTTCAAATAGTTACACTTTGTTGCACTCGTTAAGAGAGCGAAAAGTGCATCTCCATTTAAACAAAGTCCTAATCTTTTCTCTGATTAAACGACGTGCGACTTAAGAGCAAGACGGAAACTAAACTCGTTGATGATATTCAGTCGATCCAGTCGCCTAAAATGCTGCAAGGCAGAATTAAACTCACAGAGGATTTTCAGCATTCTCGGTTTGCTGATGCTGTCGCCCTCCACGTTGCTGGCTTTGCAGGAGTAACCGCCGGCATGCCTGCGGTGAACGTGCTGTAGTACGAGGCTGTTTTGCGTCACGAGTACGCCGGCATCGCGGTCTTGTCGCACCTCTTGGCCCTGTGAGTTCATTCACAAAACACATAAGCTACCTGGCTTAGGAAATCTGAATCTGGAGGGACAGAAATCGCCTAAGTACAAGTAGCGGTCTAAGTACAAGTGTCGGCCTACGTAAACGTAAATGTTCAAGTACGTATAGCCACCTAAGTACATGTGAAGATTTAGGTACATGTAGTTGCTTAAGTATCCATATGCACCGGCCCAAGTACTCGGAACTGTTGGAGTATATGTAGTGGCCAATTTCAAGTCTGCTATTGGTTTGTCTTGAAAAGCCTTCAGTGATTGGCTGACGGAGATAGGAACTCGATCGTAAATATCTTTAATAGTACATCCCGTGCTATTACTCAATTAAATTGTCACTGACTCACTCAAGAATGAAAAGATAACACTAATATCCCTTCTGTAGACCTCGTACATAGGCACAGTAAATATTCGGTCATTTTCATCTAAAACAAAATACATATATAACACAGTCTAGCTGGGTCAACACAGTTAAAATTTTTCCTTGATAAACAGTAGACATTAAATTAGGTTTTCTTTGCCGTTCCCAGAGTGTTTGTTTAGACCTGTTGGTGCAACTCTCGTTCCAAAACACGCACGATTAGTTGTCGTGTATTTTAGCGTCTCTTTGAAAGTATTGTTAGCACAGACTGAAACCTAGGCTGAAAACGTGTGAAAGTTATAGAGTGATTCAAATTTGCAGTGACAATGGCTTTAATGTACATATGAATTTTGTTTTGTGATTTACAAGCGTATTTACTCGTAGTGCTGCATTGCACGCACTTTGCGTTGTCACGCCATGTGGCAACATACTTTATATTGGCACTTATGATACCTATGAAGATAATAACACATTAAGGGATGATAATTATACCAGGAGTGCACTCACCTCGTGCTGCCACGTAACTTTGTAGGCCGGTGGGTTCGAGTTGATGAAACACTCGAAATAAACGTCGTCGCCCTCTCTGATATTCGCGGGGTCCAGAGAGGCTCCAAAGCCCACTGAGACCTCGGGCACGTCTGGTTCATCAAAAATATCCCACAAAATAAAACTATTTTAATTAAAATTTTTTATCTTTTTTTCTTCAATAAAATTAGATTTTTCATAGAAATGAGTAAACAGCCTTTCTTTCTTACAAATAAAGAGGAAAATATAATAAGCCTGTCGAGAAAAATGAGAGATTCAACTACAATCTTTCTTTACATAGATTTTGAACATTTTTCAATTTCAGCGATATTTGGCAAATTTATTCATTCGTCAAAGCCATTACGCTATTTTTCATATATCGAGAGAGCTTTAGTTCGAATTATACATTTTTACGGATCCCAATAGAATAAAGTTAACGTGTTTGCTTCTTTAAAAATCAATATGATCAAATTGGTAGCTGAATCCGAAGGTCCCAACATGCGTAAAATTAAAACCAGTTAATTAACTATGGAAACACGAGATCAATTTAGATAACAAATAAGATGATTCGCTAGTTTCGGCACCATGCATTGCTCGGGGTGATTGAGACAATGAAACAATGATCCAGCAATAACGTAAACTTAATGACAATTGGATTCTTGCAGCTGAAATCAACTCTCGCCTTCCGTCTAATGAGAGCGCCAGAAAAAGCACGCAAATGCCTGGTCTATTCTGAGAATACTTAACTGAATTGACTGCCCCTTTATGAGGGTGGAAATGAGCTTCTTGATAATCTGAACACTATTAGTATTCAGTGAAGTACTGAAGAATACAAGTGAACACCATTAGTGTTTGGAACTCCTGTGTTGTGTAGATACTAAGAAATGAGTTTGGTTTGCTCAAAAATTACCTTGTTATGTTTACCAGCCACAAATGCGCAAAAATTTAACGGGCTAATTGTATGAAACTGCGACTAAAGTTGGGTGAGTTATGTAACCTATTGAGTTGTACCTACACATATAGGCTGCTACAAAGTTTGAGTAGTACCTACACAATAGGCTGTTACAAAGTTTGAGTAGTACCTACACATATAGGCTGCAACAAAATTTGAGTAGTACATACACAATTGGCTGCTACAAAGTTTGAGTAGTACCTAGACAATAGGCTGCTACAAAGTTTGAGTAGTACCTAGACAATAGGCTGCTAGAATAACTCACAGTAAACAGAGAGCTTGAGGCTGTCCTCGAGTTATTTGTATTTGAGATCAAGTATTTATGAAGTTGTTCTCAAGTTATAGAAGCTGCAGAATAACTCACAGTAAACAGAGAGCTTAAGGCTGTCCTCAACGACCGCCTCAGGGATCTTGGGGTTGTGCGCTCTGCAAGCCACAGTCTGGTCGTGCAGACTCGCGTTGATGGCCAAGCGCAACACTGAACGCGACACGTTGCCTTCCTGCCACGTCTGATGCCCAAGGCGAATATAAAATGAGTTATAATAATAATAATAAACGACAATACAATAAATGAAATAATAAATAAACGAGTAACGAGCTGTATCGTCGCCAGCGGCTCATTAATGAGTCTCTGTCTCATAATGACCTATCGCCAGAGTGTTCCTTGTCGTAGTGGAGTATCATTAGAGTCTCCTCGTATCACTATCACAGAGATGTATTAAAAGAGTGCCCCCCGCTTCACAATAAAGTATCATTAGAGAGCCCCATTTATTAGCAATATGTAGCATCAGAGTGCCCCGCTTCACAATAAGTAACATTAGAGAGCCCCTTTATCAGCAAGATGTATCATCAGAGTGCCCCCATTTCACGATAAAATATCAATAGTGAAGTTAAAGAGAAGTGTTGTGATAAGAGCTATATTAATAGTAATAAACGACAATACAGTGAAAAATAAACGAGTAACGTGCTGTATCGTCGCTAGCGGCCATTCTTTATCATCAATATGTATCATCAGAGCGCCTTCTCGTCAAAGGATGTATCATCACAGACATGCTGCACCGAACGAGCACATCACCTGGTCTGCGATAGGCCGCAGTCTGCGGGCGCCCCTGCTGCACCGAACGAACACATCACCTGGTCTGCGATGGGCCGCAGTCTGCGGGCGCCCCTCCACCAGGTGATGAGGGCCGGGGGGCGGGAGCCGCGAGAGGTGCACATGAGGTCGTAGGTGCGGCCTGCCGAGAACGGCTCCACCGGCTCACTGATCACCGCCTCCAGCGGCCGTACTGAGATAAATGTAGCGAGATCCGATATAATAATAAATAAATAAATTTATCGTGTTTACTGGTGGAAGGTGTATCAAAAATGAATCAATAAATAAATTTATCGTGTTTACTGGTGGAAGGTGTACTTAAAATGAATAAATAAATTTATCGTGTTTACTGGTGTATGGTGTATCAAAAAATAATAAATAAATTTCTCGTGTTTACTGGTGGAAGATGTATCAAAAATGAATAAATAAATTTATCGTGTTTACTGGTGGCAGGTGTATCAAAAATGAATAAATAAATTTATCGTGTTTACTGGTGGAAGATGTATCAAAAATAAATAAATAAATTTATCATGTTTACTGGTGTAAGGTGTATCAAAAATGAATAAATAAATTTTTCAGGTTTACTTGTGGAAGGTGTATCAAAAAGACGTACGTAAGACTTCATTAAATCAAGTTTCGCTTAGTACAAGATTTTTGTCGAATTTGAACTTGATCAGTTCAGGTTTAATTAACCAAGCCAATGTTCGAAATTACGAATAATATATTAGACATGATACAAGTTCTAAATTGAAAAACTTCGTTTGAAGATTCGGGTAAAATGTACGTTGTACCGAGAAATTCTAATTTTCACAGCTCACAGCTTAAAGCCAATATTCATCAACTACAAGACCGGCATCAATGTTCTCAGCGGTCCAGCAATAAATTCTTGCTACAGAGGCGCTCGTAGTTCATTCTCACAATTCATATCGATGGTAGCGGAGGCGACCATAAGCTTGGCGACGGAAGCCGTGTGAGCTCTGCAGGAAATTTCAGTCATGACGTATTCGCGGGGTAAATTTTTGAGCACGACGTGACTGATGGTCACTCCTGCCGTCCTGGTCTGGTGAGCTGCGGTCACCAGCTCGTCTTTCACCACCCAGTCGAGGTCCGGGGGTGGTGAGCCTGCGGGTAATTTATTCAAAGCCATCAAGAAAAACAGGATTGAAGCTAGTAGCTGGGCGCAAAATTGTGTTTTCTCAACACTATGTCTGGGCCTGCAGAAGGCCAAAGTATTAGTAAATGATAATCCGTGGAATTTTTAGAGATAAGAACTTTTCAATGTATTGAAATAAGTTTTTATGTATTTGTTAGTTGGCTTGAAATGCCTCGTGCATTCTCATAAACAGCAAGGTCACTAAATACACAGTTCGCTTTTCCAAATTAATACATAATTTATATAATTGTTGAGGCAAAACTTAATGCGTAGTTTGTCGAAGCAAAATCTAATACAAAGTTTGCTGTGGCAAATTTAGTACCGGGGGTTACCATTGCCTTCTCGACCCAAACAAATCTGAATTTTCAAAACCACTTTAATTTCATTTAAACCAAATTTTATACCCTGATGGTCCCGCATCCACGCGCCGGCATCAATGGAGTACAAAATGAACTAAAAAACTGGTTCACTAGCCAAAGTTTTGTTTCAAATATACCTTATCATATGATATTTCATAAATATATTCGATAATTAAACTTAAAAGCTTCACTGCGTGCTGTTGTGGGAGACTCTTCTTCTTTTAACTGAGCGATACAATCAGCACTCGAGTTTAGCAAGGGACATGATCGATAGTAGATGTTTTATCACTAAAGATTGTCCACACCATTATAATATTTACTTCGATTGATTTCTTTAAAATATTCAGTTGATGCATCCAAGAGAACATGAGACCTGAGCATTGTTTCACAACGGACTTCTCCATAGATTACGAAATTATCGATACAAATACTGAATGATTAAAAGCATTTTTGGGGTTATCATTGACCGACGGGCATTGTCTATGGTGAGGATTAATTTATTTATCTTTCTATATAATGCTAAACTCTCATCAAGAAATTATTCAACCTCCTGCTCAGTCGGCAATTGTTTAATTGCGGCAATGGTTATGATTTTCAATAAAAATCTCTTACAATGAAATTATAAAAGGTTGAGGTTATTATTGACTTGAACCCAATGCTATATATAAGGAGACTGGAAATCTTTATTATACTCCCACCAATCTATTGTTCTCCAACATCTGGGCGCAATTTAAAGCGAATCAAAAGCCAAATCCTGCAAAGTAAAAGTTTCTCGGGAAGGATAAAGGAGTTGCGTACGGGCGGATCAACAAGTTTCTTTAGTGTTCAGGAGTTCTTTATCCCTTGCAATATTGCGCTCCATGCTTCGTTGTATGCTTCAAATCTTCTATTATCTTGATGCAAAATAGCCACTTGATCTCCATTGCTTTTTTGAACCTGGTTAAACATGAACAAATACACTAAAAGCTTGAAACCATCATTGCGTTCGACATCAATAAATTTCATCATTCAAATCTGAAATTGTTTGTTTTTTATTATCATATGGAAAGAATTAATTTTAGATCCATATGATGGAGTGACCTTGAGCGATTCCCAAACGTGAAGTGGAAGTTCAACAGACACGAAATGTTGTTGGGACAAACGGCAGCGCTATTACACTAGGAGAAATGAAGTGGTCAGGTTGCCTAAATATTGACACACTTTCTTACCCGCATCATAAACAGAGCAGGGAGCAAACGGTGCACTGTACTCCATTTTGCCGTGGCAAACTATATCAGGATGACCCACACAAGGGCAAAAATTAAATCGATATTTGGACAAGACTCCTCTATTTCCGTGAGTGTAGTCGATAGATGCTCTGTCTTATCATACATACAAGCGCTAAGGATCATAGCACAAGTAATCATCCATTAAATCTGTACATCAGCTTCCAGGAACACTGCTCGCTATAATATACTCTTTATCTTATTAGATAAACATATATAATACAGATACTCCTTGATATTAATTACATTCTTTGAAAAATATTATTTCATAATTTTGTCCGTATATTCTTGGCTCAATAATTAATTTTTTTCTTATTTTTTTCCTCTATCTCCGATATGCCGAGAGGGTGCAAGCTGATAAGACATCGTAACTTTATAGCAATTATGATTTTAATTTTCATACATGATTTTCTAAAATTAACATTTGTTAACTTAGGACGGGCTGTCAAAATGCAATTTTATAATTCGTGAGCAGTCTCTGCGGCAGCGAAATTGTACGTTCATATTGCATGATAAATGATAAAAGTTTCTAGATGATAAATGATGAAAGTTTCTGAATGATGGGGAAGTGTACGTGCATTACCAATTCCTACTCAATGTGGACGCACGAAAGTCAGAACGCTGCAGAACATGAGAAATATAATTTAATTATTGCAGTATTTATAGCACACAAATTATGGTTTACTTGAATATAATTCTCTCGGGCGGAAATTTTTGCGACAGAGCTAAACACATTACTTGTATATTTGATTATTTTTAGTTTAATTTTCAGTTTACCGTATTTAATCACAGTGTTTTCCTTTTCATCTGCAACGTTAATTTATTATTAAATTAATATAATTTAAATCAAGCATCACACTGTAATGACGACAAGTTGTGCGTCTCGTAATGGTCTTCAATTACGCTGACATGAATCTTGATTGCCAGCGACGCAGACCAAATTGCCTGCGAGTTTCCTTCGCAGTGTGAAGACGTATGCAGATAGAAACCTGATTTATCTCCGTAATTGACGGTAGCTTAGCAGCTAGCAAGTGATTTTTAATTAAATGTTTACTTCATACATTTTAAAGTAACTTTTTGCCTTATAACGTCGAGTAGCGAAATAACCGTAATATTTCGAGCCAGTTTTTTACATGATGCAATGATGGCAAAAAAATTTTTATGTATCAAATTTTTCTAAAAAAATTCTGCTCAAATTCCTGAACGATTAATACATTGTTAATTCAGAAAGCTCTAAATTCGAAGAAGCATTGAAAAGCCTCCAAGATCGCGGACAATTCTAAATGTCTCAATTTAGTGATAGTCAAAATTATTCCATAATAAAAGTTGCGATGAAATCATCATTCGAAATGAACCATTGGCTCGTAGTCTCCACGTTGCATACTTGAAATGTTCGCTTAGAATTCTACCTAGCACTGGTTTGTAGTGCTAGTTTAAAGCGTTGCAGTTCGGCCTAACGTGTTATTGTATTGCTAAAGTCCCCGGAGAGTCTCTACAAGTTTCTGGAGAGCTTCAGCAACTGGATCACGTCCAGAAATACCTCTTCGCAAACGTTTCAGGAAACACATCATTGTCAGCAAAAAGTAGAAGCAGACCGGAAAAGTTATATGTCTTCCGCTGAACTGTCTGGCGATTTCGATTGGACTTTTATGGCTTATATAGGCATCAAACGGTATCGAAAAATTGTTAGGGCTTTGGGCTCTGATGAATACTTTGAATAAAGCACAAAACTCTGATGGTTTATTTCGGTTTAAATGGTGAACAAAAATGAATAGGATTATTCTATTATGCCCATTGCAAATGATAATAATACTATTGCATTTTGATTTTGATGTAATGTTATAATGTAATTTAATTTTTTAGAGAATTAGCAGGTTTGCTTGGGGTTGCTGGAAACAGTAATCCCTGCAAAAATTGAATCCCGTATCAAATCATTCTGAACAACGACATCCTAAATTCCGCTAATAATAATAAAGCTAATGAATGCATGCTAATCTAAGAAATACCAGCGTTACCCGCATTCACCATAAACTGCTACTTAACTCTCGTTTAATAATATACATAAAAAAGAATTTTGCGTCTCCTAAATTAAAGATGCAGATACCAATATAATACTCCGATTCCAATTTGTGTACCAAACTTTTCATTTTATATTACGTTACTATTCTCCCACTAATAATAAGTTGTCAGACCCCCGAAATATCCTGTCACGATCGCAGATAAGCGCCCGAACAGCGCATATATTTTCGGCGTCGTCTGCGAACAAATACACAAACGTCCACAAATAAATAACAAAGAACATATTTCATTATAATCAGATCATTGTAGCATTTATTTGCAGTGCGATTTTTCTCAAGCAATTTTATCAGCACGTATATGTTTAGTATTTGCGGAGCTGTGTTCTGTACAACATGTACATTGATCATATATTCCTCAAGGAACAAGCAATTAAAAATTTGCATCTAGTAATGAAAATCCCGTTATTGTTTGATTCAGCGACAAGCTGTAGACACGAGCGTCAGTGTTATTCTGCAGGGCAATTAAACTTACTTCGTTATACTACAGTGTTATGGATGAAAACTATTTTGTCTTTTTGAGCATGACTACATTCAATAGTCATGCTCAAAGTAATAATATGAAAAGATAGTACAAATATCAAAGATATCTGCACCCATCCCATTCGAGCACCCAGGCCATTTGCGTTTCCAGAGGTAATAGTATTTTTATTTTATCATAATAAAAATCTTTCGTTTTCGTGAAAAAAAATTCTTTTTCGTATATGGCAGCACATTGATGTATATAACCTTGACGAGCAGTTCACTATTATTAATTTTTATTAGACTTTGATTTATTATAAAGAATTATATAGTATTTTGTTTGCGTCCAAAACTCATTTGTTAGCAATCTTATATTGTATTCATAAAATCTAATATGTCATTTATATTTTGCTTTTATTATATTCATGCTAATTTAATTAAGATATATTATATTTTTATTTCAATTTTTTGGAAGGTAGTGCATATTAGTTTTCTTTATTTATGGAACGTATTTCGGTATTCCTACTTTATATTTTTATATTCAACATTTTCAATTATAACAGATTCTCTGTAGTGTTGTAATGAATGTTGTAACATTTTAGTGTCCGACATTCGGATCATCATTATGACTATTTACTTTACAATAGAATTTGGAGCAATTTTAGGTGGAGTGGATGTAGTGGAATGGTTTAATAGAATTCCAATAGGTTTCTGAAATTAAATCAACGTCGAATTAAACATTTTTCAGCCGAATCAACGTTAATTAGACGTCGTTTTCCAGAATTAACGTTAAAATAATATTGTTTTATCTAATTAAAATTAATAAAACGTTATTTCGTTAAATTTTATTACGTCTATTAACTTTTTTCCGTCAAATCAACGTTAATTCAACGTCATTTCCCTGTTAGAAAGCTTGCTGCTAATTTCTAGAAGTAAGAGTCGTGACAACTCACCGCCCGACGCGACGCAGGATACCCTCAGGTTGGTACCTTCCATCACAGGACCCAGAACAGAGTGCACTGGCATGCCTTCCTCGTCCTGTAGGACCAACGCAGTCGGGGGCACTGGTCGAGTTAAGAACAAGTTATAGTAGAGCATAGTACATATAATATTGTATAGTTTCATAGTATGGCATAGTAGCTTAGTATAAGATAGTATATAGTATAGTATAGTATAGTATAGTATAGTATAGTATAGTATAGTATAGTATAGTATAGTATAGTATAGTATAGTATAGTATACAGTAATATAGTATAGTACCTTGTATGCTATACATGTTTCGAGGCTTATTATCGGCTTATACATGTATAAAGAATTTGACTCACCCACTATAGTTAGGTTGACGCGGTTGTTTATGGTGGCCGCTCGCTTGAAGTCCACCCTGCATTTGTAGAGGCCGGCGTCGGCCGCAACAAGGTCGGTTAGCTGCAGGTATTGCGACTCTGGCTCGGCTTTAAACAGCGCTCGTGCCCCAAGCAGGGCAGCGTCGTGCCAGTGCAGCGGCCCCGACAGTTCGCGCAGGTCATAACTGCACAAAAACGTCGTATAATATCGTAATTATTTGTAAATGTAATTTTAGGTTGAGCGGAAACTCAAGTCTACCTCATCGTGCATAGCTGTAACGCAGAGGAATGAAATTGCAATGGAAGTGGAAATAATCAAATTTCAGTTTTTTTCAATCACTTTTAGATCGCTTTGCTATAAAATAGCATTAAATTTCATGAAAAATTTTAAACTCAAATGATTTCCACTCAAACGAGGGAAAAATGCCCTAGAAATGGTACTATCATTACTCAGCGCGTTGGAGCGAAATATAAACTTCCAATTAAGTGTTAATGATGGGTCCTGACGTTCTTTGATCTAACTATCTCTTTTGTTACCAAGTCCCGCTGATCGTAAAGACGGAGCTTCATTTTCTTATCATCAAGGCAAGAGGGCATAAGTGTTGTGTTGAGGGCATAGCCACACTTTAAACAGCCCGCCAAGTCATTATCTTAAGAGGGTAGTGTCGGTGAGGGATGAGGTTGTTTAGTAAGGGGAATTTTTTATCGACGTGCCCTTTTATGTGTATCGGTCTGGTGTCGAGGTAGCTTGAAGTGTTTAATAGCGTGACCTCAGCACCGGTGTTTTAATTATTTTACCATGAACTTAACTCCAGCGATCGAAGAATTGATCCGCGGAGATCTTGCTCAAGTGTGTTTTGCAGAGCTCGGTAATTTCTCCTAATACACTTAGAATTAACGTTAGATTATTATTATTATTAGTGGACGGTATGCGTGAGAATTTTTCACTGCCAGTGGATTTTTTTCTATCCCTGACAAAGCTATGAGATTAAATTTGCCCCTGAGAATTTCGTTTTTTCCGTTCCATAATTTCTACTTATTTTCAACCTCTGAATGAATATGATGGCAAGCATCGTCAGAAAACTTAACACAAATAAAAGCTTTTTCTTCGCGAATATAAGTTTGACATGCACATAATTAAGTGTAGTATAGTATTTAGTTTTGCAATATGCTTTCACTCAGAAATGCAATAATATCTGAGGCAATCTCTAACTATAAAATCAGGGAGAAAAATAACATTATTCAGAAATACAACCACACCATAGCCAATCACTAGATATAAAAGCATAAAGAAAAATCCTCAGCCAATCACTTAATTTAAGTGATCTAAATAAAATACTTTCACTTACAACAGCACTATATTATTATTCCTCACTTAATCACTGAATATGAATAGAAATATTCTTAAAATCTGCTGTCGAAAAAATTAAACTAGAGGCTTTCGAATTTCACAATCAATTTATAATTTTAATTTTGGGATGACTTAGTAGTTTAGTATTAAGAGTTTTGAGCAATTGCGGACGCCATCATATTTTTGCCGCGTATTTTTGTTTTTCTATTATAGAAAATAAATAAAATGCTGCGAGTTCTGTTTAGATTTGAAAAATATTGTTATCTTAGCTGATGATAATGGAATAAGTGTTTTTATTACTGGTGCCCAAGAAATATTCCCAGCAAAGTTAGGCTTAATGAAAACAAATAAAATTATAAAATTGGAAATGAATTTTAATAAAACAAATCGAAATTTTATTTAAGTAATTCACTTCCAAGTTTTTTCACTACGTTTTAAATGGTTTGATTTTTTTTCCTTGTTCACTACAGAAAATTGTTATTAAGCAAGACAAGGCTATACTAAATTTGTTGATTAGGTTTAATTCGGTTGTTGTTGAATCGTTGATTCCAATTAGTTGATTCGGTTGTTTTGAATCGTGAGAAGCTTCGTTTATTTTTACAGATTCTTAACGTAAATCGTAGCGTTAATCCAACAGTCCCTTATTATTTAAGATCACTGATCTGAAAAACAAAATTACAACTCGAAATAAGTAAACCTCAGTAAAATGGCTGGAATATCGTTCTTTAAATTCACGTAGCATCGCTAAAAACAAACTCTGAAATAAGTTGTTATAATATTAAAGGCTTAATGTTCACAGGCGATTGCTGAGCGTTTCTGCTGACAACCAAGTAAACGACCATGCGATGAAAAGCCTGAAAGTTAATGAAAAATAATCTATAGCGTATAAAATTTTTGTTGTCAGTGTTGAAGATATGACAGTTCTTTACTTTATAATAAGCGCTGACTGTAATTAAACTCCTTGTGAATACTAGTCTAAAGTTCACGTTCTTTTTTTATCATACATCCTTAATAAAATAGTGTGATGTTATTACACAATACTTAGATAGTTACTATAGTTTCTTCTGACACGGCCCGATAGCGGCCCGATTGAGCCCCAATTCCTGATTGCCGTATTGCGTGCTTATAAGTCCATATTTCATGTCTTGAAGCGTGCACACTTGACGGACAATTTTTTCAGTTAAAGTTTTAATTAGTCCGTTGAAGCAAGCCTCAGCCACCAGCTGCGCTGCCTCGACCCGACAAATGCTTCATTTGTGGAACAAAATTGACACGCATGTAAAAATTTTCAACACGAATACTATTTACACGAAAAAGAATTCAACAATTTGATTCACATGAAAAATTGTGCTTGCGTATTATTATAAAAATGTTTTTCGTCACGTGAATTATATGAATAATTTTACGATCCATTGATTCTCAGTGTTCATGTTAATCGTGACCTCAATTTCGGTACACCTTTTCCCGGAATATAAAGTTTAAAGTTTGGAATGAACTTATTTTCAATATGAAAAGTTCCAGTCATTGCTTAGGAAATAATTATTTTACCGTTCTTCAACGAGTTATTTTGTTTCAACAAGGATTTTAGTTTATCTCTATACCACATCCTTGCACTCGACTCAGACTTACTTACAGTTATTCGTGTGACAAACTGGCATGTATGCATGTAATTGCGCTTGTTTATGGACGTTGATTCACTAAAGTGAGTTATATTGTCCCTCTTATTTCTCTAATTGTTGAAGTTGCACGATTGGTAGATGAAAGTAAAAGTTATGTAAATGTGATTGTTAGTTAATTTGGGATGTGAACTTTGAGTAGATTTAGTTGATGAGAGTAGCAGTTAGGTAGATGTGATTGGTAGATGATTTTGGGATGAGAACTTTCATTAGATTTGGTGGATAAGAGTAACAGTTAGGTAGATGTGATTGATAGATAATTTAGATTGAACTTTTTTAGTTAGTTTTGGTAGATGAAACTAGCAGTTAGGTAGATGTGATTGATAGATGATTTGATAAGAACTTTTATTAGATTTGGTAGATAAGAGTAACAGTTACGTTGATGTTATTGGTAGATGATTTAGGATGAGGAGTTTTATTATATTTAGTAGATGGAATTACCAGTTAGGTAGATGTGATTTCCAGATAATTTGGGAAGAGAACTCTAATTAGATTTGGCAGATGAAATTAACATTAAGTAGATATTATTGGTCGGTAATTTAGGATGAATACTTTAGTTAGATTTTGATAGATAAAATTAACAGTTAGGTAGATGTGATTGGTAGACAATTTGTGATGAGAACTTTTATTACATATGGTAGATGCAACAAAGACTGAGGTAGACAAGAGGCACCTGTAGATGGGGGTGGCGAGACCGTCTCTGAACCACAGCACGAGGGACACCGCGTCGCCGCTTGGGGCGCTCATGTTGCAGGGTAGGTGAGCTGTGCGACCCTCCACCCCCACCACCGCCACGGACGCGTCTGCTCAACAACAGAAAATATATTACTCGTTACTATTATTTACTATTTATTAATAAATTATATATCAATATTGAATAATATTACTAAATTTTATTAATAATATTATTATAACATACTACTATTGATTTAGAAATTGAATTTGATGGCGAATGTTTTGGTCATATTAACGTGTTAATTATTAGTTATTGTTAATAAAGAGTTTTTCTTGAGCCCTTGAGCCTCAATTACCAGTTACAAGGTAACAATTATTTAAGTTTAATTGTATTATTATATGAGGTATCAGTTTAATCAGTTCAGTTCAATAAATTATTCGAAGCTTTTTAAGGAATGGTTCGATATGAATCTTTTGCTAAAATAAGGATGTTGATAGACTCAATATTCCCATAATTTAAAATGCTCATTCTAAATGAAATTCATACTTGTGTCTAGATAAGGTACTTGTGGAAGGATTAAATAAGAAAACCCGAGTAGGAGACAGACTGAGATTGATAGAATATACCTGGTCAGATACATGGTCAGATACCTGGTCAGACTCAAATACCTGGTCATATACCTGGTCAGATACCTGGTCAGACTGAGATACCTGGCCAGATACCTGGTCAGATATCTGGTCAGACTGAGATTGATAGAATATACCTGGTCATATACCTAGTCAGACTGAGATACCTGGTCAGATACCTGGTCAGATACATGGTCAGACTGAGATACCTGGTCAGATACTTGGTCAGACTGAGATACCTGGTCAGATACCTGGTCAGACTGAGATACCTGGTCAGATGCCTGGTCAGACTGAGAGACTTGGTCAGATACTTGGTCAGACTGAGAGACCTGGTCAGATACCTGGTCAGACTGAGAGACCTGGTCAGATACCTGGTCAGACTTAGATACCTGGTCAGCTGCATGGTCAGACTGAGATACCTGGTCAGATATCTGGTCAGACTGAAATTGATAGAATATGCCTGGTCATATACCTGGTCAGACTGAGATACCTGGTCAGATACCTGGCAGACTGAGAGACCTGGTCAGATGTCTGGTCAGACTGAGAGACCTGGTCAGATGCCTGGTCAGACTGAGAGACCTGGTCAGATGCCTGGTCAGACTGAGAGACCTGGTCAGATGCCTGGTCAGACTGAGATACCTGGTCAGACTGAGATGCCTGGACAGACTGAGAGACCTGGTCAGATGCCTCGTCAGACTGAGAGACTTGGTCAGATACCTGGTCAGACTGAGATTGATATCCATGCATATTTATTATTCGTATATTGGTGGCCTCGGCCCTACGTACCTTAACTCGATTATAGGACTCGTATCCTAAAATTAAATCAAATAACGGTCTTGCAGCGCAGAAACTCGAGTTGCTGAATTTCAAACTCACATGATAGAGAAAAGTTTACCTTTTCTAAACGTTATATTATAAAGCTGGTGCATATAGTAAAGACACACAAAATGAAATTTGCTTTCGAAAAAAATTTATATTATATTTTGGTTCAATATTACCCAGAAATTACTTTTCCCGAACAGTTACTTTATATACTTATTTGAAATGTTTCTGTAATTTTCAAAAAATATCCCACTCATTATTATTTGCGCTCTCTTTTAAAAGACTACAATTCGAATTGTAATAAAATACAGCAATTTACAGTGCCTCTAGCTTTGAGGCCATTAAATGTGATGCAAAACAGTTGAACAAGTGTAAAAAATGGTGCAATAAAAACCGTTATGCGCATCACATAAACCATTATGCGCATCACAAAAACATTATGCACATCACTCGAAACTAATGGCAGAGTTGGACTTCGCGATCCATAATAATTCTTGCTCAACGTTACAGTTCTTATTCGCATATGATTACTCTACTACCTTACTGCGTGATCATCAGAATATAGTTTTAAAATATAACTCTTAATGCCCTAGAATTTAAATAATTCTTGCCGTAATTGACTAGCTACAGCAAAGACTTTTAGGTATTAATTCTGGCATTGATTTGCATACGTCAACGCAACTAGCCATCATCAGCCCTTCAAACGTGCATGATGATTTGAGAAAATTATAGAACAGAAAGAACATTGACTAGAATTTGTAAAATAACTAGCTTTATTCAACATAAATCAATATTAATTAGATAAGTATTTGTGTCTTCAAGAATTTTCAACATAGTTTTCTGTTACCTGCTACAAAATTAAGAAACTAGCCAAGAAAATATCTTTAAAAACCACACTCTGCATTCTCTCTGAAGAAATTATGCTTATTAATGTGGGAAGTGAAAATAATATTAAATTTGAAGAACTATCAAACTGTATAATAGCTATTGTCGACGCTAAATTGCTAATTTTCTTTCACAGTTTTGCATTGTAATGTGAAAGAAATTTAATGTATTGAAATGCGACATTTTTTATTCTCAGAAACTATCCCGCTAAATTACATACACGATTCATTGTTGGGTACAAAATACTACCTCGTATTCCTGTATAATTGGCCAAATTAATGTTGAAATATCAGGAAAGATATGCGCATAAATTCAGGCTTAAACATTCCATTTACTAACAACTCTAACGTTAGGCCTGCACGAGCATTCGTACCATCTCGGAATACTACAATCTTTTTTTATTGTGAAATTTTTCAAATTACGAAAAAATATGTTACGAGAAGCAATAATTTTCCTTTCAGAGCCTGTTGAAAAATAACTGAAATGAATAAAAAAGAATTACAATATTTCGGAACTCGTCTCGCTATTTTCATTTCATGCGTCAGTTTTAATTTTATTTTATCACAGTTGTAATTTTATTTTTATCATTCGACGTACCCTAATATTTGTCGGAGTACAAATGTGTTTGGATAATTGACCAATGTCACGAAAAACATAAATAATTAGATTTATTCTACATAAATATTTTTTTGTACTCGTTCGAGAATAGAAGGCGATCAGTCACTAGTGACATCATTGGATCAGTCACCAGTGACAGGGTTAGACCAGTCAACAGTGACATCAAACACATTCCAGGGATATTGATCATCTCTCAACAATGATATCGTTTTGCTCCTAATAACATACTACGGGCTCTGGACAAACTTAATTTAAAAATAAAATATATTTATCAATATATTAAAGTTTATTTGACATTTATGCAAGAAAAATCAACTGGAGTGAAATATTCTTTTTTAACTAGGGCACGGCGATTCTTCGTGGTAAAACTATCTATTTTTCAAAGGCTCATCTTTAATTTGAAGACTGAACAGTTTTTGAAGTTCTTAATACAATCTACATATTTAAAAACTTTTACTTGGCTCAGACATTGGAGGTTAACGTCCGTATATTATGCTTCATATTCGGCCGGCCTTGCCTGCTTGCGCCTACTACAGCACGCTCATTTCGCTCAATAAAATTTTTCACAAACAAATTTTTCTTATTGAAAGTTTGAGGCAATCAAGTCAAAAAGACACATAATTACCCCGAAAAAGTATATTCAAAATTATATCAAATAATAAATATCAGTAGAAAGGATCGGGATGAATCTCGTAACTTCATTTGATAATAAATACGACCAATCCCATGTGTGAAATAGAACTCAATTTTGAACTATGAATCAATTCGATGACATAGTAAGAATCAATGTCAAAACATTGGCCAACATTAGAAACATGGACTTCTTCTCTAGTGGGGCGCGCAGAGAATGTGCGAAGTGGGGAGCTAAAGAAAATTGAAATTAGATTTGTCAAAGTTGACAAGCTGAAAGGGGGAAGAAGGGCTGGTATCCTCTTATCGTCAAGGTTATGATGTTCACTATAGTTACGATGTTTGAGTAGTTTGAAAAATGTTTTAAGGACTTTAGATATTGCACAGCTTTCCTTTTCTTTTGAACTACATATTTAGTTTTTTTATGTCTATTGCTCAATTTTATCGGCATGTGATACAAAAAATAGCTATATTTTTCCCTGCCTCAAGCAATATCAGATTCCTCACGTCATTTTAATACAAGAATTATTCCTCCAATTAAAGTCCTTTGAATATTCTTCGGTTGGATGATACGGTATAATTGAAAATTAACAGTTTCTGGCCCTCTAACAAACAAATAAGAGACAAACATTTTGTTCAATACTAACAAGGTTGTTGTACAATATTAACAAGGGTAATATTGAATACAACTAAACACCCTTGGTCCCTGCTAAAATCCTTCTAAATTTGGAAACATACACTCACAAAATTTCGCCACACAGCTGCAGAGTTACTAGTTACCTAGTCTTAATTTCAAATATGGAATCCCCTTATAAAATTTCGTTATTGGATAGGAAACTTAAGGAAGAAAATGATGGTACATTTATGAAATGATGGTATTCATCTGCTAGACAACCGAAAATATAGCAAATTCTGAATCGGAATAAAATTTGGTAAGCATTTTAAGGTGTTTTTTATATACAGTTCAGTTCATTCATAACATATAGCTGTTCATTCCATAAATGCCGTAAAGTCCATAACGGTTCATTTATGTATATTTAGCTCAAGCATGCAGATGCAACTAAAGAAACACGCAAAATTAATCCCCTGATATTGTATCCTGGCAGGTTTATCTTAGTAATAAACGTCAGGCAGAGAGCTTTGCGCGATCCTGATTGCTTCAAATTGAGAAAAATATAATTGCTCTGGAATTACTGCTACGGCTTCAAGTTTAACATGACGATATGGCGATACGTTCACTTTTTAAATTAATTTCACTTGTTTGAAATTAATTTACCAGTTTGATTCGAATCAAACTGGTAAATTTAAACTTACAGTAACTTGTTTACTAATAATAACCTGTTTCATCAGCCATGGAAGAAAAATGATGTTAAATAATGTCGTTGAATCAAATTCGTTACCTAGATTGGAGGTAAAATAAATTATAATATCATTTTTTCCCAATCACTATTTTAGATTGGAAAAATTTTAATGAACGAAGGAATGGGAATTTTTATGCGAATAACTTTTATTGATCGTTACAAATAAATAAATTTAGTTTAAGGAA